ATTTGAAATGCAAGTATTATTGACTTGAATAGGATACGTACCAGAAGAAGAGGCAGTTGCTTTGGCCTTGGCATTTTTCACTTCCTACAAGCAATTGGGGTAGCATCTTCTCCAATGGTCCTTTTGGCCACAATGAAAGCACACAACTTCTTTTGGATCAGCAACAGGATGAGTATTGAATTTGGCCTTTGCTTTGGATCCATTGGACTCTCCATGGTGGGCCTTCCATTTCCATTTGGATTGGGGGCCTTTCTATTATTCCCTCTGATTTGTTGGACAACCATGATAGGAGCAGTTGCAGAACTATTGGAATGAGACTTCTTCATTCCTGCCTCATCCGTTTGCAACAAATTGTGAAGCTCAATCAACGCGGTCTCTGTATTGTTCAAATGATAGGTCAATATGAACTGATCATAAATACTAGCCATAAAATTGAGGACAATGTCAATGGCAAGGTCCTTATCAAAGTTCATGTTGAGGTGTTCCAATCTTTCTCCATGCCTTTGCATTTTCTACACATGATCACACACATATTCCCCTTTTTCATTTTGCATGCCACCAGTGACTTGACCACTTCATAACGCTCTTGTCTCTCCTTTTTATGAAACATTTGAGAAAAGGCTATGTTAAGCTCATATGGCCAATAATCCTCATAAGTCTTTTGGAGCTCAGGTGTCATAGTTGCAATCATAATACAAGAGACCTTGTTGGCATCATCCACGTTCTGATCATAATCAACAATTTCCTCAAGGGTGGCAGTTTCTTTGTTGATTTTTGGAATTGGAGTAGTGAGAACATACTCTTTTTTTCTCATAGCGAAGCATCATCTTCAGATTTCTCATCCAATCCATGTAGTTTGGACCGACAAGCTTGTCCTTAGCACGGATCGATAGTAGAGTGAAGTTGTGGTTTGATGGAGGAGGAGGAGGAAGAGGATGATGATGAGGAAGTTCACCATTTAAATACATCTCTGAAAAAGACAAGATTTAATTAGTTGATTCAATCCTTAATATTTTAACCCAATTAATATTCATGTCTAGGATCCAATAATGCAATTCTAAATTAAGAAAATGGATGTTGTAATCTAATCACGAATTTATTTAAGGTAGGTAATTCACATTACCAATTTCACTCTATATGAAATTCCTAGATTATTTGTGATTGATTAAATCTTATCAATGGCATGTTTAATCTCAGATTATGCTCTTTAATTTGTGACTGGGATACCGAGTATCACAAATAAGATGTGAATTACCATGCAAACCCGCTTGACAACTTCAGAATCTTTTATCATCTCAAATTGATGTGCCAATAGCCCACACTTGCTCCATCAATTAATGATAATTTTCGAGTTGTGTCACCATAACAACTTTATTGTCCGAAATTAATGTATTGGTTAACCACGTACACTCCACTAATGACTCATAAAGATTGATGTGTGTTTGCATGCATTAGCAAACATTTTCACAATTTCCTAAAGTAACTAGAGTGGGATTTTAAAAAGGTTCTAGTACTTTATAGCATTATACTTTTAATGAGTTTATGTCCTACTAAACCCGTTCTACTAACGACCCTCCACCATACAGGAGAGCGGTGGGTGAAAAGGACACCCATTTAACGGTCATTTTATAGGTCGTTTCTTTATACCATTTTTATAGCATCACTTCGTGAATGAGACATACTAGCTATGTGACTGACTCATATCATACATATAGTACTAAACATGTAATATATATAAGTGTAAGGGTGTATTTTAAACATTTTAAAATAAGGTTTAGAAATTAATTATTAAACATTTTAATTTACTAATTATTTAAACCAATTAATGACATCAATGTTTATCTTTTAATTAATCAAATAAATAAATATAATTAAATCATGAGGATAATTCACAAATTCAAGATTTTAGGAGATATGATTATCAAGTTAAATACTCAAATTTTATACAATTAAAATAATATTAACTAAGGTAATTATCCTAATCAATTTAAATTTAGAAAACAAAAATATTCGTTGAACAGAGGCTCCTCACGACGTGGCAGAGTATTCTTCACGTCCTGACAGAAAAAATAAAAACGTGGATCAGAAGATTGTCACGACGTGGCAGAGAGATGCCCACTTCGTGGTGTTGCGACAGAATGTCGATTCTGTCAAAATCCAAATCTGTTTTGTTCAATTTAACTAATGCACTTTCAATTGTTAGACAACCAAATGCTCTGATACCACTGATAGGTTTTACATGTAATAATGTGGAAAATTTCCTTATACTCTTAAGGGTACATGCAACCTAATAGATCTATGTCATAACACTATTGAAGCAACATATTATTGAACAACAAAATTTTTAAACCCTAGTAGAAATCGAAATTCATAAGAGTTACATACCTCTAATCTGTTATTGTAAACAAACCCTTTTATTCCAACAATATCAATCTAAAAGTCTCTTTGAAAACAAGCTACAATTATGTGTGAGCTTCTAATGGTTCACACCCACAAACACAAGGACCCTAGAAAGATTAGAAGATAGGGGACAAAATTTTCCAATCTGGTATCTCAAAAAGAGTGGCCAAAAACTCAAAGGCATAAGACCCTTTTTATAACTGATTAGGAAACATCCAGAAACCCTAATTTGAACATAAAATAATATTATCTCAAATAAGGAAGTTATCTAGTTCCTTAATTATCTAAATGGAGGCTTCTAGAAACCCTAATAAGGTTTCATAAAACCGTCCACAAGAGGAAGGTTCTAGAACCTCTCATCTGCTCAACTTTTGAACAATTACAGCTTTAGTCATTTAACCTTTAATTAATTCTAATTAACTAAGAATTAATTCCAAATTAATTCTAATTAATTCTAAATTAATTATAACTATTTCTAATTAATATATTAATTATATAAGATATTAATAAATCATTTATCTCTCTTATATAATCAATCTAAGAAGTTTCTTTGTTATGAGGGCATCCTAAAATGGACTTTACTTTTATTTATCAACATAATACCAATTTACTTAGGACTTTAGACACTTTAATCCAACAAATGTTCCATTCATGAAACCTATTTTGCATGTGTTTTAATTTAGGTAATGTTAAATTGGAATTGAAACAGTTTAAGCATCATATATGTGTATATCACTTAGTATGGATTGACTTAAGTGTTTCCCGAGCACTTTTGGGATTAGCTGTCATTTTGTTCTAAGTCGACGGTTTCGTTATAAGTGGAAGGTTTTGTTTTATATATACAGTTAAACTACAAAGCTTCGGGATGGAATTTACAAACTCATTCAATGGATTTATATGTGATGGTTACATGTTTTTAAAATTATCAATATTAGTTACCGACGCTTTAAATGGGGTCTTAGGTGTGATGTTACAATCTTATCTATATCATTGGACTATAGGAACCTAGAAGGAAAGGGACTTGTTTTGAGAGTAGAATACTTCGGTTGGATTCTTAAAGCATGTGCATTGCATACTTGATCGATTTTGGAGTTAATTATTACAATTGCTTCTTATCCTTATATACTTGTATTTACACATGGTTTTGAAAATAATTTTGGGAGTTTGAATTTGGAGTTAGATTGGAGTCGTTGTCTCGTTTCATTCTATAAGTCAAACTCTAGGTTTAGTTACTAGGCTTCTCAACCATAACGTTACTATTTTGATATGTACTCATATTAAAAGATGAAGCTTAGCTATATTCTAGGATATTCTAGAAGGCCATTTATCTTGTGGTGGTTCATCTTTGACTTTTATTATGATTTAATTGTACATCCGTGTATTATAACTTTTAAACTATCAGGGTGACACTTTAACTTTTTCGATCTAAATTTCTCAACAACTTAATCAAATGAGTAAATGTTTTCTAAAAGATAACTTAAATAGTTCTAGTCCATACGATGGGGTTTTCAGTTGGTATTAGAGATCGGGCACGGGTCGAATGGGGTGTTAAACCCTATAAGGAAAGGAGAACGGGCATACAACAATAAGCACAATGATTAGGAAAAATAACTAAGCACCGCTTTATAAGGGGCGTGGATTCTTTCTCTAACACAATACATTTTAAAGTTTTGAGGGAAACAGTTCTCATAAGAACTTTGTAGTTAAGTGTGTTCGTATAAGAACATTATAATGATGGGTGACCTGTCTGGGAAGTTTTCATGTCGAGTGGCCCAAAACAGACAATTTTCGGATACATGCTTTAGGAGATGTTACAAATGGGACATTGGACATACATTCCTTAGGGGATGTTGTAAAGATTGGGCACGGATCGATGGGTTCGGTGTAAACAGTACACATAGAGACTTATCTAATGTGGGAAAAGGCAAGTTGCTTATCATCCAACCATATGTTTGATTTCCGAATAAAATACTTAACAACAAAATTCATTTCTCAATGTGGTACCCATTTTTAGGCCCATTGCGAAATGTCAAAACGTTATCATGAATTCTGTAGTGCTTATTGTGAAATTGGAGGTTATTAGGAAAACAAATACAGTTTTAGTTGGTCTTTAAAAACAGAAGAGTTTATGTTATTTTCTTTTTAATATATCAATTTTTAACATTTATCATCATGATTAAAAAAAAGATTTAAATAAGAAAGACACACCAAACTTGAAAAACCTTACAAACAAACAAACAAATGTAATTTTTGTGTTAGGTTTTTAGCCTAGCAGTATCACGTGTTGTGGAAAGATATTTCTCCGCAAGTGGTTGGGGGTTCAAGTTTCATTGTGCAAAAAATAGATTTTAAGAGTATGATTAGTTGGTGGTGGATGTTAACCGTTCAAAAAAAATAATGAAAAAATAAAAACCCTTTATTGGTATCATTAAATGAAAACCCAGCCGATCATAAAAAGAAAACAGTAATTTCAAAACCAAACATAACAGTCGAGCAAACAGTTATATACACAACAAGTTATTAATACAAATAGTCAAATACTTATCAACGGTTTGTGAGGAATTCAGATTACAGGTTGACAGCAGCATTCCATTCCTGAGTCAAGGAACACCAATCCTCAGCTGACAAAGGCGTACAATCTCCCGCCATTCATTATCATCTCCTTCTAAATCACAACCAAATGGATTAAAACGATTCCTTTTCATGACATTCAAAGAAGATCCTCCATTTCCACTCTTCCGCCCTTCCCAAGCCTTCGCAAATCTCTCTTTGAAACTCCTCTCACTCCCCAACCTCTCATGATAATTCCCAAATTGGGCAATAATGTACTTTTGTTTCCAAAGATCTTCACTTGACGCCAAGTATCTCAATTCCGAGCATACACAGCTCAACTTTGCTATATCAACACCGGAAACGGAATCCATAATCTTGAGTATGAGTTCGCTTGGTAATTGCATGAAGAAAGGTGGAAAAAGATTTTCCGGTTTTCCATCGTCATCATCACCCAACTCCTTTGAGAAAAAGACTTTCCTCATAAAAACCGGGTCAGAATTAGACTTTCCAGCTTCGGAAACGGAACTCGAGTCACTGTCTACTTCCATAGATTCTGCAATCTCTTCTGGATTGGGATTAAAACAGTAAGTTATGCAACCAAGAAAGTGAGAAACAAGGTATAGCTGTGCCAAAAGTATTAGAATGAAAACTGAAAAGTAATGAAAAATATATATTCCTTGATCTGTTTTATAGATAAAGAGGAAGCGTAACACAAGTGGAAAGCACTTTCTATCTATACATAAGTGATTCTGCTAAATGGATATATGTGTCATGATTCCATCATCAGTTTTTTTAATAAATATAGATATTGATGTCATGTCACAGTACGTACGACGTACAGATCGGCTGGCTAAGGGAGAACTTGTGCGTCGATTTATACTTTGCGTTATAAAAAGAAAAATACTATTCTTTTATTTATTTAGTCTTGGAAAATTTAAAAGATAAGAATGAACAATATTGTGTGCGCCGGACTGAAGACCGAAAACCCCGAAACCATAAATCCTTGAATTACCTTAACCGAAAACCGGACCGTTTAGGATGCGCTAGTTCTGGTTCCGGTCCGGTTTCGGTTCCGTGTCCCCAACCGTGTTTCGGTTTTTTGGAACGAATTAGACCATATACCATTAGTTAGGCTAAACAACACGTTTCACAAAAAAAAATAATAATAAAAAAAAATAAAAAAATAATAAAAAATATCCTAGTTTAACAAAAAACTTCGCATTATATTAAAAAACTGCACGGTTTTATAAAAAACTATATTTTTTATATTCCTAGAATTTAGATTATGGATTGCTATTAGTTTCAAACTCATATATATATATATATATATATATATATATATATATAGATATATATATATATATATATATATATATATATATATTTCAAGAAAACATGTTTTCATAAACTGTGTTAATCATTACCTTAATACAATAACATAGTTTTTTCGTTTTTTTTTAATTTTTAGATAGCTATTTTTATCGAAAAACGATTTTGAAATATATCAAAATTTATAATTTTTTATTCTCTATAAATAGACATCAATATTGATATAATTTTAAGATAAAATAAAATTTATATTTTTTATTATAGTTTCAGCTATCGTTATTCATAAGTGAATAAAAATGCATAAGATTTTTACTACAGTACATTCGTTATTCATTTATGAATAAAAAGTATGATTAATTTTTTTTACAGTTTAAGTATCATTCATATATGAATATAACATATAATAAACTCTTTACAGTTTATATCAACTCTCGTTACATGTTATATTCACATATGAATAAAACGTGTATTACTTTCAAATTCATATATATATATATATATATATATATATATATATATATATATATATATATATATATATATATATATATATATATATATAGAGAGAGAGAGAGAGATGTAAGTTCAATTGAAAAATAAAAAAAAAAGTTTGACAATGAGGAAATTATTCTTAGTTAGTCATTTATTTTTGTCGTAAAAATCTATATCGTACCGACGGCAATGGGAAAAGAATACACGTATGTTTTCCAAGGAAACATGTTTTCATAAACTGTGTTAATCATTACCTTAATACAATAACATAGTTTTTTTCGTTTTTTTTTTAATTTTTAAAGAGCTATTTCTATCGAAAAACGATTTAAATATATTAAAATTTATAATTTTTTATTCTCTATTAATAGACATCCATATTGATATAGTTTTAAGATAAAATAAAAATTGTATTTTTTATTATAGTTTTAGCTATCGTTATTCATAAGTGAATAAAAATGCATAAGATTTTTACTACAGTACATTCGTTATTCACTTATGAATAAAAAGTATGATTAATATTTTTTTACAGTTTAAGTATCATTCATATATGAATATAATATATAATAAACTCTTTACAGTTTATATCAACTCTTATCACATGTTATATTCACATACGAATAAAACGTATATTAGCTTTCCTCACAAGTTATATTCATATAAGAAGAACACATTTATTTTATTTGTTATTTATATATGAATAAATAGTTCAAATTTTCAAAACACTACGTCTTTTATTAACATACTACTTATTTTTATATGGATAACAAATTAACTGTAACAAAAATCTAATAAATGTTTTATTCATATATGAATATAACATATGACGACAATTAATACACGTTTTATTCATATATAAATATAACATGTGACGAAAGTTGATGTAAAAAATATATTTTTGTTAATAATACTTTATTACTTGTTATATTCATATATGAACGATACCTAAACTGTAAAAAAGTTAAGCATACGTTTTATTAATAAGTGAATCACAAATGTATTGTAATAAAAATTTGATGCATTTTTTTCACATATAAATAACGAGAGCTGAAACTCTAAAAAAAATAACTTTTTTATTTTATTTTAAAACTATATCAATATAGAGCTCTATTTATAAAGAATAAAAAATTATGAATTTTGATATATATTTAAAATAATTTTTCGATAAAAATAGCTTTCTAAAAATAAAAATAAAAACAAAAACAAATATATATATATATATATATTATATATATATATATATATATATATATATCTATATATATATATATAATTGTGTATATTAAGGTAATCATTAGTATAGTTTAAGGAAACATGTTTGGTTGGAAAATACATGTGTATCCGTTACCCATTTCCACCGGTACACCTAAGTATTTTGTGGAAAAATAAAATGTATGGTTGAGAATGATTCCCTCAACTTTTTTTTCTCAATTGAACCTTCATATATCTATATATATATATATATATATATTATATATATATATATATATATATATATATAGGGATAGGTTATTTTGTTTCTTACATTTATTGTGTGTTAGAATGCACCAATAGGAATTTAGTAAATTAAATAATTATTTAATTAAATAAATATAGATATTAAATGGTTTCCATAATTATATGTATATTAAATGATATCCATAATTATAATTTTTCTTTTTATGGAAACTAATTAAATTCGTCATTAATGTCAGCAATAACATTCTTTCAGAATGAATTCGCATCTAGGTTTTTATGTATGAGTTCGTATTTTGTTTTAGGACTCACTCACTTAAAATACAATAAAGTTGCCTGGAATATAAAGAACGAGAGTGTATTCTACTAGAATACACTCTCATTCTGCTGGAATACACTCTCATTTATTCTAGCTATGAATTCATTCTAAAAGAATATTATTGTTGACATTGTGAACTTGTTCAGATTCATATTGTAAACCTGTTCAGATTCACATTGTGAACCTCCTCAGATTCACAGTGTACATAATAATAAGTCAGATTCACAGTGTGAATCTGATGAATCTGATGAGCTTTTTCACATTGTGAATGTTAAAATTTGAAATATTTACAGTTTAGATTCACAGTGTAAATCTACACTGATCGAGGTTTTTTTTTTGTGAATATTCTCTGATTCACGGTGTGCATAATAGTAATTCAGATTCACAATGTGAATCTGAACTGTTCGAGATTTTTCATATTGTGAATGTTAAAAATTGAAATATTTACAGTTTAGATTCACAGTGTGAATCTACACTGTTCGAGGTTTTTTTTTAATCGGTGTTGATGTTTATTAATAGAGTACAAAAAATTAATATTTTTGGTATAATTAGTTTTTTTTTTTGATAAAAATAAACTTAAATATTGAAAAAAACTAAAAAAAATTAAGTGGATTTTTTTCGAAAAAAAAAAAGTTCGTTTTTTATATATCATTTTGGATCTCTATGGAAAGAGGACGAAAAATCGTGAACAACAGTATATTCGGTTTTTTTTCGATAAAAAACTTGGCCTAAAAAAAATTTTAAATGAAAAAAAGGAAGTGAGTTTTGTTATAATCCGGTACATGTGCGTCCATTATAAAATTTTACAACTCTTCCTTTTACCGTTGATCGCTTTAAATTCCAACGCTTTGGATTGGTTCCTTGGTTCCTTCATTAATAATGGTTCTCTGTTAATATATATATATATATATATAATATTATATATATATATATATATATATATATATATATATATATTATATATATATATATATATATATATATATATATAACTAATAGCAATCAATAATCTAATTTCCAGGAATATAAAAGATGTAGTTTCAGGTTCGTGGTTCTTAGTCAATTGGATATAAAAAATGTAGTTCCATAATCTAATTCTTTTGAATTTTGATCTTTTCAGGTTCGTGGTTCTTAGTCAATTGGATATATCCTTTTGACTTTTTTGTTTTACCGTATTTTAAATGGAAATTACTAGATAGCAATACAGTCATATTCAACGCGTGACTTCACATATTTTTTTTCGGTCCACGTAAGGAGGGATATGATACAATGTTGAACGTAGAATAATGTCTTTTTGTAGACTTTCAACATGGGATTATATTGAATTTGGCAAAAACGGTACGACCATGAATATATCGTGTAGGTGTTGTATTAACATTAATTTCTATTTGGCGTATGACCTTATCTCACGTTCATTTTAAATATTGAATGCGTCACGATGATAATACTTTTCTAATCATGGGATTTGTTATGCTTTTTTTTTGGATTAACGACTTCATCCTGTTAGATCTTGGGTCTTGAGAAAATATAACATACTTGGATAATTTATTGGATCATAATTGTAATCACTTTTCAAAATCTGTGATTTCGACCCTATAGTTTGGGGTGTCAGGAAATCATATTTGGGATAATCCAAGATGACAAGTTAGAAGTTATGCCACTTCTAAAATCTAAAACACATAAAGTACATTTTTGTTTTGTGTTTGATGAGATAGAGAATTGCTTATGATCAATTTCGTGTATATAAGAGTTCAACCCTTTTCCGAGAACATTCACATTTCATTTATACAAGGAAGAAAGAAGTTTAAAATCGGTTACACCAAAATTGGCGCCAAAAGCATGATTGTTTTTGGACATAACCAACGTCTACATCATCATGATGTCATCAGTAGGTTTTTGGTGGGAAAATTCATGGTTAGCGCCAAAACAGTGGAACCACCACCAGGGGTTTTCCCT